CCGCTCATCAGCTAAGCAGATCACTGTCTGCACTAGGTCCTCAGGAATTATTTAACGTCGAAGACAGGACGGCGATCACAGCCAGTATTCAGATCAGATCCCTCCAGAAATAATATATAGACGGTCTGGTAGACGTCTTGCATAGGACTGGTCAGTCCACGTTCCCTCTATAGCGCAGCAAGAGCTTAGCAGGAAAGCATGCGTGCTCTACCCCCATGGGTTGGCATGGTGACCGTTGCCCGTGCTTCGACCAGGGCCCTTCCGAGGCACCACCCTCTCCTTCCAGATCCGCCACCAGGAAGAATGTCGATTCTCAAGGTAGATTGCTCATGACTCCTGAATCAGAAGAGGACACTCAAGTTGAACTCACTTCCTCACGGTAAGAAGAGGTTGAGATGGGAAGATAAGGTAAGGTAACAACGTACCCAAAGATAGCTGCCCCCAACCACAGATTTCTCACCAATTGGGCCGACGTGCATTTTGATGACCGGTCGTAGCCTCTGGAGGCTCACGTTGTGCTGTAACAAACTGGCGTGCTGCAACTCTCTGAGTACCCACATATGGAAAAATTGTCGAGAACAGGCCTCACGTGGATATTCAGGCCCGCCTTCACTTAGGGCGGGCAAAGGCCTTGCTGGGGGCTGAAGTCCAGCACACTTGTATGTCTGATAAGGGCTCTGCGAGGTTCATTCCTCGCAGTTGGAATGCGGGAGACCTCACGCACACACACACATGCACACACATTTAAAACAAAACACACACACACACACACACACACACACACACACACACACCAAGGACAACCAAAAAACTGTCTAATTATAAAATTGCTTTAATATGTTGGACATCTCAAATGCTCTCGTTGTCTGCAATAGGACAAAGACTGCTTTGATTCTGAAAGAATCTGAAGCTATTCACCTGGGTGGAATTGGGCCTGTTGTGGGGAAAATCTAAAACACACACACACATACAGACACGCACACACGCATGCACGCACACACACACACACACACACACACACACATGCACACATGCACAAGCGAGCACACACATACTCACGCACACATACGCACAAGAGATTGATTCGAGCCGATGGATTCCAATGGATCGAATCGATCGAATCAAGAAGATCAATTTATTTTGATCTATAATGGAATCAATGTGAATGGATCGAATCGATTGGATCGATTCAATCGAACAAATTGATTTAATCAGTCCAATTGATTCAATCCATTCAAATTGATCGGATTCACACCATCTGCATCTTGAGAGAGAGAGAGAGAGAGAGAGAGAGAGAGAGAGAGAGAGAGAGAGAGAGAGAGAGAGAGTGCGCGTGTGTTTGTGTGTGTGTGTGTGTGTGTGTGTGTGTGTGTGTGTGCGTGTGCGCGCGCGCGCGGACCCCAAACCCCCCCACCCCCCCACCCCCCCACCCCAGGTGGTGTTTGACTTTTTTGTTAATTAATTCCAATGTTAATTAATTCCAATTGAGCTAAAAACATTTTTACGGGGGCTGCGCGAGGTGCACAGACACCCCTTTGTTTTCTGCTTTAAATTTGTGAAAAAGTTGTTGTCCGGGATCCCGGACAACTCCCTACCGACCGTCTCCCAGTGACATGCCAGGGAGATGTCTTGGGATCGGACACCTGGCAGCATAGGGTCGGTGGGAATCTGAGTAATGAAAAACCAGAAAATGGGCGAGAAATTGAGAATCAGGGGAGAAAAAGAATATGTACTAGAGGGACAAGTTTTGCTTCTTCTTTCTTGTGGACTCCCCAATGTAAAAGGTTGGGGGAAATGCATGACAATGACAGGCATGCAAAACTATCCACCACTGTTGGCTAGTGCATTATCTGCAGATGGAAATGATTGCAAGTTGAAGATCTGAGTTTTGATTCACATGTCCTGTCTTCCCTTACCATGTCATGTCTTGTCTTGTCTTGTCTTGTCTTGTCTTGTCTTGTCCAGCTAACCTGACAGCGTAGGATAGGTGGGAATGTGAGAAATGAGAAACCAGAAAATGGGCGAGAAATTGAGAATATCAGGGGAGAAAAAGAATATGTACAAGAGGGCCAAGTATTACTACCTTTTTTTTTTTTTTTTTTAAATACAGGTCCTTATGGGCCCGACTCCATTTTCCATTCTGGGGAGCATCAGTCCGGTTCCTATTCCACCGGCAAGTCAGGATAAAACACTACATCGTGAAACCCACTCATGCTTCCTTCCGTCCGGCCGAAGGATCTCTGACCAGCATTGATTACTCCAACATCGTGGAGGATTGACTGTCAGCTTGCCTTACTTCCTCCTTCCCTCTCAGGTCAACTGCATGACCTGTCAAATAAATAATAAAAAGCAAGAAAGGTAAAAGAAGCCACTGAAGATTCAATATCGGATTACGCCCTCCAACATTATGTGACCTGTGATGAAGCTAGTCCTTCTGCTGGCTGGGGTACTAAAGGTACGTCATATGGTCCATGACCACCCTTGTCTTCACCCTTCCGATTATATAGCTGATCAGGTATTCTGTCCATCCGTTGATACAAGAGGCCGTCTGCTCCGACCTGAACTTGAGATGAACCCGACCTTCCACGTATATGGTTGACCCATATCCCCACCACCTTGGCCTTTCCGAGCCTACCTTCTACCGCCCCTTGTGTTCTCTACATAGAGACGTCCTTGTGCCAGCTGTGACGCATACCCGTTCATGTGTTCTCCCTTCAGATCACACATCACGCAAGGTGGTCTGTCTTCCTGCTGACAGCGAGAGCTGACTTCTCCGGTCTGAGTCCGAGTTGTGCCAGTCCTTCCAACGTATATGATCATCCCGTAGCTCAGCCACCTTGCCATTTAAAAGCCATAGTCTGATAAATTTCATTCTGATCTTTTTCCGCTGATCCTCATCCTAAGGCATCAATTGACTCGTTCTCTGCCACTTGCAGCGAATTTCTGTTTGTAACATAGACCTCGTCTCAGCCCATACCTTCTCCCTTGAGTTGGAAATTCCTTCAATGGTTCTGCAGCATCTCTCCTTCCAAATGACCCACAACCTCGCCTTTCTGATGAGGCCGAACCACAACCTCTCTGTCTTCTGACATTGATTCGGGATGTTAGTCCAGAGGAGAACTTGGATGGGGTGTTTGGGGAAAGGGGAGGGAAAGTGGGAGTTCCAAAGGGCTGAAGCCCTCGCCCAGTATTCCGTCGCCTCACTACAATTAACCAGGCAATGTATTATATCCTCGTGAGCCCCTTCTGTGCAAACTGTGCATAGGTCCATGCTGTTGGGATTGTTTCTTTGTCGTCTAATATGTAACCATTGATTCACTGGAAGGGCTGCATAGGTGATGAGCCATTGCAAACTCCTGTTTATGGGTCTGATGGATTTAAATTTCTTCCATGGGATCTGAGTGATCTTGTCGGCTTCTTGTCCTAGCAACTTCTGCCATCTGCTCTTAATTACGGGGTCTGGATCTTTTGTTCGTAGGAGGAGCTTATAGCCCAGTTTAACTGTGTACTTGTGGATGGGGGTATTGACCTTGATGTTCCTTTTTCTGTCAGGTGTCCAAGCCCATTCCTTTGGGTCGAATTCCAAATTACAAACCGCTGTGTCTGGTCTGAAGAGTAGTTTTGGCCAAGACCCTAATACTCTTACTTTTCTGAGTACAAAGCAATCCATGACTGTTGATTTGACCTCTCTATTTATTATGGTTGCCATACCCTGGTTGGAGGGGGAAATCGGGAAGGAGGAGAACATCGCCCTAGTGCTTGACCCCTGCTGCATGTGGGAAAATTGAAAGGCCCTTGAGGGAGTTGTTTCATGCACCTTCACTCCCCATTCACCGGGTTTCCAAGGCGAAGCTTCGTTCAAGAGATCTTTCCAGTCTTGTGGCATAAGGTTAATAATGTACAGCAGGTCTAGTCCCCGTCTATGACACCCTTTCAGTCGTATGCTGAGCTCCTGTTCAGTTATCCATTCTTTTGTTTCTTCCTTCCATAAGTGGCAGACATTCCATACCCCATTTTTGACCCATGATAACCATTGGTGTTCCAGCTGAAGAGGATTGTCCCCTTCATCAATCACCCATTGGTTGCCGAACAGCGGTTGCCTCAGAACCTCATCTTTGGACCGTGGTCTATTGATCTTTTTTGGTAGGATTTCCCTCCATATCCGAAGCAGCGCCGTCCAGTATGGGGTGGGAGGTCTGGCTCCATCTGTACCGACCCCTCTTCTTGGATTTCTCCGCCACGTTCTCAGGTTCCATTTCTTAGTCATTACCCAAAACAGTCCCGTCATGTCACCTGGCGAGGCTACAGGAGCCAGCGCTCTGATGCTATCTAATGCTAGTTTGTTCCACGCGTTATCCGGTTTCATCAGGAGTTTGATTATCCACTTGGCTTGAAGGGCTTTTGTTTCTTGCTTAGGGTCTATAATTCCTAGACCCCCATTCAATGGCTTTCTCGTGATGTAATGCCATGCAATCTTGGGTATACAGTTCACTTTATTCGGGTCACCTGACCATAGATAGGACCGTGCTTTACGATTAAGATCCTTAATTGAGCTGTCTGGTGTTGTCCATATGGAGGCTATATACCACATCATAGAGAACAACGAAGAATTGATAACTAGGGCCCTCCCGAATAGTGAAGTAAAAGTGTTCCCCCACATCCCTAGCTTGTTAATCTGTTTGGCCAAGACATTTTTAGCCATCTGTGGAGCCATCTGTGGCCAAGTATTACTTCTCTCTGCGTGAACTCCCCATTTTCAAAGGTTGGGGGAGATGCATGGCAATGACAGGCTTGGAAAACTATCCACCACTGTTGGCTAGTGCATTGTCTGCAGATGTAAATGATCGGAAGTTGAAGATCTGAGTTTTGATTCGCCCGTCCTGTCTTCCCTTGCGATGTCTTGTCTTGTCATGTTTTGTCCGGCTTGACGTGGTACCAAGGCAGGTGTGCATGGTTCTGAGTTTTTTTTACCCTTGTTGCTTGCATTGATTTTTTGTCAGGAGTTTACCCAGCCGTCAGTTAAACGGGACATTGCCGGATTTGTCTGCCCTTCCGAACCTGACAATTCTGTAAGTGGAAAACAATGCGTTAAAACTGGGATACCCGAAATGAATGACGACACCTTAAATGAGTTCTGTTTCCATAGAAGCGGAGTTGTTGTATGTGAGTGTTCAAGTTGTTGCTGCTTGGTCTGCCACTGGCACGCAGCAAGGCCCAGTGCAACATGTTTTTTTTTTGTTTTGTTTTTGTTTTTGTTTTTGTTTTTCAAAGGCAATGGCCTTGTGCAAGAAACATGAGTATGGACGAAGCACAGAAATCCAGAATGCAAAATCACACTGAAGTCCAAGTAGTCAAAGCCAAAGCAGATAGCACATGGAAYCGAGTAACCATCCAATTKAGAATGATACAAAAGAATCGTGAGTCAATGTCCATGCCCACCAGGGCAACACCAACAGCATAACCCAAATGTAGCTCTCTCTTGTGAATGGCGCCAGGCGCCCTATCTACTCTACAGCTATCCTACAACTACAGCAATGAAAAGCAACCAGACAACTTGACTACCAACGAGTGATGATGTCAACACCAATGCCGATCTCCACCATCACCAGGTACGTGTCCTCTTCCCCACACTCTCCCTTGTTACCCACACTGCGCCCTTCACCTCCGAAGTACCACCTTCGCCCTCACCTCTCCTGCACCCTCATGCGGCCCGGCTATGGCCGCCAGTGCTCTGCAAGCAGGCAGCGCCCTACCGCCTAGCGCTGCCCTGCTTCTTCTTAGCGCAGCGCTGCTCTGCATTAGCGCAGCACACTTGCATCTGCGCAGCGTGCCCGCATATGCCAGCATTGGCCAAGATCCCTCCTGCCTCGCCCTGCTTGCCTATATGCCAGTGCAGCATGTGGGCGGCCTCCCTTCAGCCTGTGACCGGGGCCCAGAGGCTGAAGCCAACTCGATACAGTTG